TGCGTGTGTGTGTGTGTGTGTGTGTGTGTGTGTGTGTGTGTGTGTGTGTGGAGGGAGAGAGAGAGAGAGAGGCAGCAGTCAGCTCTCCCCACCCGAGGCTGAAGGTCAACAGACGATCATGCTAAGCTTGCTAACTGTTCCACCCTCTGACTGCTGCAGGGGCGTGTCTTAGAGAGAGGCTTTTATACCAGAACACAGCTGCTGTGACGAAACCGTGGAGAAGACACATCACCGTGGACAGCCGTTAACCAATATGCAAATTAGCCTGCAGTACCACTGCTCTACCCATATGAGCAGCAAAAACACATTTTTAGACAAAATATTACAGATTTGAACAAATACGCAAAAAAACATCAAAATTAGCACAGAAACAGTACAATATAATATTTTAGACACATTCTAGACAGTTTATCAGCTAAAAAAAGTTAATTTTGGGGTAAGTTACTCTTTAAAATTGTCGGAAGGGCAAAAATTGACATGATTATCTGTTCGTGTGACGCAGGCCTTAGTGAATCAATCACCATCAAATTCAACGACTTTATTGTTTTTTGACTCTGTGTGTGTACATGTACAGTATTTCTGTGGGGACTATTTTTGACCACTCAGTAAACACAGCTTTTTGGGAACTCACCTTTATGGGGACAAAAACCCAATCCCCTTGAGTTTAAATGCTCCTGGTGGATCAGGTTTTAGGTTTAGGACTAATGTCAGGTTCACAGGGCAAGYTAACTGTGGCCCGATTTTGCTCTTCAGACAAATTGAAGGATGCTCCATTTATCAAGATGTCTAACTTTAGGACATACTCCTGTGGTGTGTTAGGYGWCATTTAGTCAGCTCAGAAGYACATCAGGAKCACTCAGACCTCAKGTTGTGGACAGTCAACATGTTGGATTGTCTTGGCCCYACATTCCAGCATGTGTGGTATTCCCCGAGAACAAACAATGCAACGTGTAGCCAATCAGAAAGAGACATAAGGGAAACACAGAYGGGAATCCAAAATACAGAGGCCAAAACAACTGCCATGGAGCGCCAGAAAGTCTGCTAGATGTTAGAGACATCTTTTTGCTTTTTCTRTGGTAAAAATAGTCCACAYTCATCACCTTCACTTTTTCCTCYTRGGCCATATTTATTTACTCTGAACWCACYTTTGATCTCCAGAGGTCTRGCGAGGTTTTCTGTCTGACATCTGAATATTTGTGAATGAAATCTGTTGGAGAGTTATCTTTGCTGTGTGGCTGAACACCACACACTGTAGGACCAAACCTGCTATATCCATGAGTTTTATCCTCACGTTCGAGCTCTCTCTGTCTTTGAAAAGCCGAAAATGTAAAAATCTTGTCGTGTGAACCAGACATTAGATGTGATTTGACTCATTGGATGTACAATTACAAKTGAATAAATTTGGAGTTAACTTTATTCAAGATGGCTGCCACTACAAAGCAACCTTAGAAAATAAAAAAAATGGATGCAGCTTAGCCAGTTTTACAGATAKTGAGCTAATGTGGAGTGGTAGTAACTCAGAGTCATTCCCAACACATACTCTGAGCACTGCATCGTGCAATATCTTTGCTTAAAATTTTGCCCTTAGTTATTTTGAGTCAGTTCTCTTCCTGTTAGTAAAATACTTCATAGACACAAAAGAAAACAAAWTTGAATGAAGCTCTCAGAAAATAATCACTAGCTGTACATCTACGACTGATTCAATTTTAGAGCCAATCTGCTTGAAGATGACAACCCCAGCAGACTTACCTGAGCCACCAAACAATATTATARCTCAGTCAGTTTTCTGAGCTACAACATGCCATGGTAGTAGTCTGAGTGTGTAGTACCGGTAGTCATGATGTGTTGAGAGTCTATCTCAACACATCATGTGAGATCTTGCCATATCATGAGATTGTTATATCATTTAAAATTGAAAGTTTTGACCAAAATGGCTACAACTGCATCATTAAGATGATCCTAGTTTAAAACTSGGGGATGAAAGTCGATGGTAATTTCTCCAGGGAATGCTAGGCCATTTTATTGCAACAGTTTGCAAACTTCAAACAGCAATTTATTWGGTCACAAATCTCTAGTACGTTAATGTTATGGACCCTAAGCTGGAAGGTTTGAGCCCCTAACTAAGGACTAGTGACACCTAGGGATAATACTTGTGAACTGCAACCAATTTATCCTTAGTTTTGGCTGATTCTCAATGGGTATACTGCAATAACAATAAAACAGACAATAATGTTTTTCCTTTATCTGTCTGTTACCAAAATATATTGTATATCATAAACAACTGAACAAATTTTAGGAAAACGTAAAAAGTAACAACATAATAGTGACTCTCAAGGACCAGGATTGGACATCCCTGTTTAARTAAAATTTGTCCAGTGTTTTCTGASAAAATTTAYCAACAGACAATCACACACACAGAATTGTGCAAAACCTTTATCATCAGCCGTTCTGTTTTTGCAGTGGGTAATAATGTATTACTAGAGTTCATCTACATTACAGACATAGGATATGGGGTCCATTTTACAATAGACCCCATATTTGAGGAGGGGGCTCCATCCTACCACCATCCTGCCACCCCTTCTGAGGGATGTCTGGATGTGCAAWAATGCTTATAACTCAAACACTAATCAACATAAGAGCTTCAGATTATTATTATTATTTTGTTTAGCTCTGATGAGGGGGCTATCCATTGAGCCCACCAATGAGCCCACCCCCTACTGGAGGTTCGGGCAGAAGAGGTTCTGCCACACTTGGTTCTGGTCACAGCAGACACAAATTGTTTCTGCAAGAATCACATAGGCTACAATAACTCACTGATTGTCTCRCAATCCAGCAGGGAGATGTGTGATGCTGTGGCTTCAGCTTGTCATTCCTCTGTGGAACAGCACCTGTCAATCACCACGACAAGTGAAGGTGGCAGAGAGGGGCTAAGCTCACCCCTAAAATTTGTTGGCCTCACCCGTGTTATCTTTGTACCTTTACAGGCCAGACCACCAGCAGCCCATCAACCCAAAAACACATCAACTCACTGGGAATAGTCTGTAGACATGTATGCCAGAGGAGCTTCCACCTACAATGCATCATGGGGTTGGTTGGGTGAAGAAGAATCATTTCAGTTAGCATTTTTATATGTGCAGACACCCCTTTTTCAGGTGGGTTGGGGGTCCAAGGGGGTACGGGTGCTCATTGGTGGGCCTGATGGACAGCCCTTCATCAGCGTTAACAAAAAAAAAAAAATCTGAAGCTCCTACATTGAATAGTTTCTGAGTTAAAAGCATTTTTTGTGTGCCAAGAC